TGTTTAGAGAAGACGATGGTGGATGTAGTGAGTCCTGCTAGCTGCCATGTTAAGTGGGGCGATGACGGTCACAATGGAGAGAGATGAAAATTACAGCATTTCTTCTCTGATAAATTTGAGGAGGAAGCCTCTGTTTCCTGAGCAGTAACATGATGCATGTCTACTACTGAAGAGCTATAGAGACCACTTAGTACTCCTTTCAGGCAGAAGTTGTTTCCTCTTGTTCAGATTGCTTCCTCCTCACTGAAATCTCCATGCTTCAAAGCTAGTCTTAAGTCCTGCCTTTTTGATGCAAAAGGCATCCCATTTGCCATTTTCTAAAGTCATATCACTATCTTCTATTTGGCTTAGTATTTGTTTCATGGCTTTTTTTTTTTTTTTTTTTTTTTTTTGAGGGCAGGGATTGAACTCAGGGGCACTCTACCACTAAGCCTATTTTGTATTTCATTTAGAGACTGTCTCACTGAGTTACATAGTGCCTCACTTTTGCTAAGGCTGGCTTTGAACTCCTGCCTCAGCCTCCCAAGCCACTGGGATTATAGGCCTGTGCCACCATGCCTGGCTTGTTGCATGTATTTTTTATCTCTTGCTTTCATTACACTACAAGTTTCCTGGACCATATTTTGGTGGTTTTAATTTTTAATTATAAAAATTTTTAAACATTCAGAAGTAGAGAGAACAGTATAATTAACCACCATATACTCATCTCCAACATTCAACCATGATCAAGATTTTTGCCTCATTACCCTTATACATACATCTTTTTTTCTTTTGCTAAAAGTATTCTATTGTACTTTTTTTTTTTTTCAGTAGGCATTTCTAAAACAAAATATGGTGCCACAGACCGAATGTTTGTATCCCTCCTCCAAATCCTATGTTATATTACATCCCTAAGATGATGGTATGTGGAGTTACGGCTTTTGCGGGGAAGAACCATTGGGGGCCTTCAGGTCATAAGAATGAATTCCTGAAGAATGGGATTAGTGCCCTTGAAAGAGGCTCCAGGTATGTGAAAACAAAGCCAAAATATAGCCTTCTATGAACCAGGATGCTGGTCCTTATAATACCTCAATTCTGCCAGCACTTTGATCTTAGACTTCCAGGATGCTGAAAGTGTAAGAAATAAATTTCTATTATTATGAGCCACACAGTGTGTGAGTATTTTGTTATAGCAGCCCAAATGGACTAAGATCAAGGTATATTTTCTTAAGTAGCCATGTTAACTAAACCAAATTAACACTTAATTCCTTGATACCATTCAATATCTGTTCCATAGTCAAATTTACCCAATTGCCTCAAAAATGTTTGACAATCAGTTTGTTATTAATCAGTATCCTAATAAGATGGGTTAAGATGTCTCTTCACACTTTTTGCGGGGAGGTACTAAGGATTGAATCCAGGAGCACTTAACCACGAGATATATCCCCAGCCCCTTTTGAATTTTTATTTTGAGACAGTGTTTTGCTAAGTTGCTTAGGGCCTTACTAAATCAATGAGGTTGGCCCCAAGTCCCTACTGATTTAATGAAGAAATTTACTTATTTTTTCTATTAGATGTACCACATTCTGGATTGATCTGTATGTTTCTTCATTGTCTTAGGAGCTATGTTTTGCTTTCACTTAGCTAATATGTACTAGGTCCAGCTCATGAGCCTCAACTGTATAAAATGCAGTAGATACAACAATGAATACAATAACTATAGTCCTGTTTCAAACAGTTCAAGAAAGTAATAAAAACAAATGTTAATTACTATCAGCTGTGATATGTGCTAAGAAGGGAAAGTATATAACAATAAGAGAAATTATAGCAAGAGAACCTAACCTACTTTAGATGTCAGGAGGAGTATTTATTTTATATAGTTTAAAGCCCCTTGTACACTGTTAAGTAAAAAACAATAAGGACAACAGTATTTCTGGGTTGGCTGGTGAGTTTTCTTCATATTATTAGCTTTGTAAACTAAAAGATATATCACCATCCCTTGAGTTTTGAACATCAGACCCTATTTTCTAAGAGTCTACATCTTCAGCTCTTTTCATTTTTTATTTTGAGACATGGTCTTGCTAAGTTGCTGAGACTGGCTTTGAACTTCTAATCCTCCTGCCTCAGTCTCCCAAGATTACAGGTATGTGCCACTGTATCTGGTCAGACAATCAATTTCTAAGAAAGAACAGATGGATGTTATTGAAACCTAGAGGCATATGCTCATTAGGCTATCTACTACACTTTCCTAATAGGGTTTTTAATTTAAAGTTGAGAAAGGAAAAATGCCCAGACACATTTTAAGATTTCATATAATGGAAGGCATAACACAGAAAAGACAGTAGCAGAGGAGTTAAATGACAATCCAGACCTTCATTTTAAAGGATTATAATACAGTTTTTTAAGATATTAAAAACAATACCATCTACTTAAGACCAATATACATATTGAAGTCCCCCTTAATTTATACTAGATTTAAGTCTACCTGTTTGGGAAATAGCATCATAGTTGTTTGAGTGTCTTGAAAAAAAAAAAATACATTCTGCTATGGACTGTGGACTGAAGTGAATACTTCCAAAATTCATACACTGAAGTCCTAAACCCCAAAATGACTGTACTTGGGAACAGTTAAGATCAGTGTCCTTATAGGAAGATAAGAGACTAGAGTGTTTTCATTCTTCTATCCCTACTGTAGGGTGTTTTTTATCCCTGTGTAGGGTATTTTTTTAACGGAAGCCTAAGCTGACTAACATAACTTCCTAATTTTTTCCCTCTCTACAGTATCTAAGTCTTAAAGCTCTCTTCTGTAATGATTTGTAGAATACATCTGTTCAACTTGTAGGATACATTAGAGACTAAGACCATGTGTATAAAAAGTATTCCTTTATATCTAACCAAGCAGACAAGAGAAAAAATAAGGAATTAAAGCATTTTCTAACCTGAGGGAATGAAATGGAAGAGTGATTTTTGTTTGCATTTACTCTCAAATTCTTGAAATTTCATATTCTTTTCTGTAAAACTAGGAGCTCTCCTAAGGTAAACCATATCTGGATATTTTCAGCTGTGGTCAGCTTCTCTCCGAATCCCACTAGGGTTTGGTGATGCAAAGTAAACAAGGCTATAAATCAAATGCAATGCATTTAATACCTCAATGCATTTCAAATTGATCTGGAATAGGGTCAGCTTAAATCATTTTTCAAGGGAAACTGTTCCTTTCCATGAAGGAAGTTAAAGATGGCAAATCCAAAAATTATAGTGAGTGGATTCAGATGTGAGGCTGCTTATTTGAGAATGGAGGCAAGGTTGCCTCAGGTGAGATTCTTCGGTTATTTATCTGGTTGAAGGCATGGATATTTAAAAACACATCCTTGTGGCTGGCATTACATCTGAAATCTGGTGGGCAAATTTTCAAGAAATAAAAGCTACAAACAAATAGCTTCTGTTCCATTCAGCATGCTGTAGGAAATGGCTAATGGACAAGCATTACTATGACTGGCAAGGCGAGCTGCCAATAAATGATAGGAGCAGAGATTCAAACCACTACATAGCAACAACATTTCCTACACTTATTTCACTAATTTGTCAAAGTAGGACATTATCTGAAGTGAAAAGAAAAAATGGGATTGGCAAGCACAGGGAAAGGAATTATTTAAAAGTAAAAACCTTGCTTCTTTCTCTACTGGTTAGTGATCTCTGCTTTGCATAATTATGATTTACTTCAACTATTTTCTGTTACCACATTAGACTTTACTGAGGGTAACTTTTCCTCCTGTGTAAATAAAAAGCAAAGAGTTATTTCTTGTAGGGTAAATGCCCATTGTTTGCTTATTCCTGTCTTATCCTTTTCAGAAGAAATGAAGTTCAGTCTCACAATAGGCAGGGGGTGAGGGAAGTGAGAGGTATTGAGATTCCCCAGATTGGGCAGGGGAAATGGGGGAATGGGAGGAGGGATGGGAATAGGAAAGAGAGTAGAATTTTCATGTATGAATACACTACCGGTATAACTTCACATCATGTTTATAACCCAACCACAAGAATGGGAAGTTATACTCCATGTATGTATGATATGTCAAAAAACATTCTACTGTCATGTATGATTAAAAAGAATGAATAAAACAACAACAACAAAATATATGAAGTTCAGTGGTTGGATGAGAAGAAAGGGCACAGTTATGAGAAGCTGCGTCAGAGAAGCTGCCAGACCTTTCAGGCCTTATTGTTTTCTGATTTGCCATTTTTTTTGCCCTAGAAAAGAACCACAAATACTATCTGCTATCTCTCTACTCAATCTTCAACTCTTACTTAACTCCTCTAACTCCAATAATTTTAACAGACTGTTAAGCAGGTCAATTTGTGCAATCTTGTATCTTCTAAAATGGGATAAAAACTATTCCATCATAAAGGAAGAATAAATTCACATTTATTAGCTTCAACTCAGTCCAAAATTTCAAGAAAAATGCCATATATTCTATTTCACATAAGCATTTTTGTGTAATGATTGAGAGTATAGACTCTGGGGATAGACCACTTGAGTTCAAATGCTCACTAGCTGCACAGGTTTAAATTAATCTTTATATTTCTGTGTCTCTATTCTCTCATCTGTAAATACAAAATAATAATAGTTCTACATTATATTCTGTTGTACCTGGTAAGGAGAATATACTATATGAACACTTACTATTACTAGGATTATTTCAGAAAACAACTGAAGGGCATTATTTTAATCTCATTATTTATTAGTACTATTAAACAGTTATCTGTAAAATCAAGTGAAAGCTCAAATAAAATAAGTGTTCTATTATTAATCAGATAAGAAAAAAAGGTAAGTATAAAATCCTTTCTTCAAAATTAGCCTTAACAAAATTAACCTTAACTTAGATTTTACTAACAAAAGCATGCACTTGAGTTTTGGAAGCAAGACATTCTTAAAGAGAGTAGAGTGAAAACCATGTACTATCATATAAGACTAGTCTGAAAGACTGACATAATCTGAAATATTGCTCTCTGAACAAAATACATACTTCTGGGGTGATCTGTTGTCAACTTCCGCCTTTAGTCGCAAATTCTCCCTCACCAGGCCACCGTTTTCCAACTTCAATTTTTTATTTGCCTTAAAAAAAAAAGAGTTGAAAATAACTATGCACAAGCTAAAACAAAAGTTTCTTGTAAAATTTATGACTTGAGCCATCTGTATTTTTTAGAGCAATAATATCAGAAAACTGAATACTAGAACATGGTCTTTGGAAACTGAAAATTACCACTGAGAATAACATCTGAAATGGTGAACACAACTAAGCATTTTTAATCCATATTCCCCAAGCACTCTGCCCATCTACTATCCAGGAAAATAAACAAAACTATATTTTAGCTAGATTAAAGTCATTAAAGAACTATACTAATGGCAAAAATGTGGGTTTTTTTCTTTTTTGCATAACTGAACATTCTAAGCAAAGTAACATTACAACACATGCAAGTATTTGCAAACAAATGCTGAAGAGTTAATTCTTGAGCTATAAGACTGATTTCTTCATTGCTAGTTAAACACATTTTTCTAGGGATAAATAAAATATGATTGAACTATTTGCTTGCTTTCTTCAAAAAGGCTTTACCAATTCTCTGACTGACAACTTCTGAGATCCTTTTTTAAAAATGGGTCAATATTTTCTGATTCCATGAATTCTAGACTTTGATTAAAAAGAATAAAAAAAATCTCCCAAGTATGATTTCTTTTCTTGAATTATAAAATACCTAAAAATTACCTAAGAAGACAATAATTACTAGAAAAATCTAGAGGTTCAATATTGACTATGGACAACCTGAAAAATAGTGCTTTTAATTTCAGAATCTTCTTAAAGCCACTTCCTTTAAATTCCTTAGTCATTACCTTTGTGTATTCCAAACAAAAATAAGATTGCCTAGACTAGCAACCAAACTCAATTCACATGGCAAGGGAAATTCTCTGCCTAGAACATTTATATTCACAGTTAATGGATCACAAGAACAAAATTAAATCAAGAAGTCCTAAAAACATATTTCAAAAATTTTACCTATGCTTTTGATTAATTTCCAAAACTTCTGTATTACCTACCCATCTATATACAAATGTGCATTTGAATGTGCATTCTCACGAAAGAAGTAGGGCAAAAGACATTTGGGGGGTATAAAACCTAATAATACCCTTACTTAAAGTCATCCAGGTTCCTTTTGAGATCTGAGCACTTGCTTATCTTCATGGCTACACGCCAACCAGGACCATGGAGGGTTAATTCTTTAAGTGACTGATAAACACTATTATTGCCCCTCTGAAGATATAAGAAAAGCCATTTACTTCCTCATACATATAGACAATGAATTAAGCTTTCAAGTATAGCACCATAAGGGGAGCACTTAGTGAATGCTTTCTGATGATGACTACAGCTTAAATTAGAAACTCATTTGATTTTCTTTCCTCATATCCAAATCCTCATACTGTATCACTATCATTGTTTCAAGGTCTCTCACCAATTCTGCAACTCTCTTAATATTTCTCATTATGAACAGGATAGGATCTTCAATTATCAGAGAGTAATGAAGACTAATAATGCAGCTAACTATTCTGCATTATCAACACTGGTTGGGTAATGATACTGCTCTCATAATTCAAAAGTTATGCAGTTCAGGAAACATCAAGAAAAAGTACACTTTGCTCATTCTATGAAGTATTTTATTTTGACTCTTTTATACTCCATATTTGATCTGTAGTATTTTATTACTTTATAATTTTACATTTTTGTCTCTGCACTCCATATTTTCTTATTCATTTTGCTCTGGAGATCCTCCTGCCTCAGTCTCCTGAGTTGCTAGAACAGGCATGAACCACTGTGCCCAGATGATTTATGTATTTTTTAAAAACAACCCCCACACCATTCTGAGCTCAGAGTAGTTCCCAATCAGAGATTCATGCTCTAAGAAGCATTTGTTGCAACATTTAAAAATTATGAAAGAGATCCTACAGATCACACTGATGGCTCAAGAAAAGGTATGGAAGCTAAAGGAAAAATTACAGATTGAAATATGTAATTTCTCAGCTATAATTCCTCTTGTCTTTTTTTTTCTTTCCTTTTTTTTTTTTTTAATGGCAGCATGAATTGAACCCAGGAGCACTTAAACACTGAGCCATATCCATGGCCATTTTATTTTTTATTTTGAGACAGGGTCTCACTAAATTGCTTAGGTTCTTGCTAATTCGCTGAGGCTGTTTTTGAACTTGCAATCCTCCTGCCTCAGCCTACAGAGTCACTGGGATTTCAGGCATGCACCACCACACCTGGCTTCCTCTTGTCTTCTAACAATCCAGCATAACTAAGGTTGGCCAATAACACACAAAGAAACTATATATATCCCCTAAACTTGCAAAAAAAAAAAAAAAATCAGTGCAATTATATTTGTTGTTTATTTTTTTATCTGTAGCACTAAGTTTCCTTTTTCCTTTTATCTTGACCTTTTCTCAACCCAAACAGCATTTATTTTATATGTGGAAGATGGCTTACACTTAGTTGCAGATGATTCTCTGCTAACAGGATACCCTGGTAATTCTTTAAAATATCATATGGTCTCCATCAATTACTGTACAGGTAGTACTCAGTAATTCAACACAACACTAGTATTTTAAGTGAATGCAGATAGCTGAATGGGTGGTTGGAGACCTGAGTATAACAAAATTTCCATTTAGCACAACCAGACTCCAGGACAGATAAATCTTTTTTTTTTTTTAATATATATTTTTAGTTGTAGTTGGACACAATATCTATTTTATTTTTATGTGGTGCTGAGGATTGAACCCAGGGCCCCGCACATGCTAGGCAAGTGCTCTACCGTTGAGCCACAATCCCAGCCCCGATAAATCTTGAGTATAGTTAAAGGCTGGTCTTTGGTCAAGAAACCACTACCACACCTGACTATCACAGATAGTGCTGATGACAGGGAGAGTCTCTCCCTTCCTAGATTGGAAAATCCTAGAACTTTACCCTTTTCACCTATGTTCTCTCTACTTTGTTGGGTGGGTGGGAAAATAATTGAAAAAAGAATGAATCACAATCTTCTTTTTCATGGAGTAGTCTAAAGCAGCTCCTCACAGGTCTCTTATAATTTGTTATTCATCCTTTAACCATCTATTGATAATCAGGGAATCATGGTGCTAGAAAAGAGATGGTCAAAACCTTTCCTTTTATGGGCAAGAAATTGGGTATGCTTTTGTTTTCATGCACATAAGGCATAAGCTTAAGCAAACCACAAAGAGGGGAAAATAGAAATACATCCTTTAAATTGATGTTACTCTTCCAGAAGATGCAGTTTCATATAGAAGCATTACAGAGTCTCCACTTACAGTCACAAATGGAACCACCTGATATTTCTTGGCAGCTAATGATATTTAATGAGAAAAAGTCTTCCTATTGCATATAAATGCTCATCCAGCGATTCTGTTTTTCTCAAGTCATCTAGTGATAAGTCAAGGTAATATTGCTATTTATACTTTTGAAGGCACTTAAAATATTAAAGAATTTTGAAAACCACCTAACTTACCTCTTTTAATTTATCCACATCATCTTTTACTTTTTCATAGATTTCATTAGCTGTTCTAAGTTTTTTCTTCCATTCTGCTACAGTTTCTGGATCGATTTTACTTGGATTATCTACAACTGGATGTTTATCTTCATTTTGGCTGCCCTGCATCAAGGTTAAAGGATCCAGAATAGTCTTGATCTGTGATTCCAAGCTGAGATTCTTAGTTTTAAGCTCTTCTACCTCTTTCTGCAAACAATCTATTTCATCCTGAAAAAGCAACACATAGTCTTTAGGCAGATATAGGCACTAAACACGAAGAGATGCTAAACTAAAGCCAATATACTTTTGGATTTTATATTCAAATATCTGTAGATACACAGATTCTTAAGATACATCATAATAGCTTTGTAGGAAGACAGTTACATATGGTTTAAATTCTCAAAATGTATCATGATTCAATAAAATTTGACATTTATGTACTTGTACTTTAATTCAATGATAGTTCCGGTTTTAAAAAATAAAAATGTTAACTTTTATTTAAGATGTTATGCAGAAAATAAGAAAAGACACATGAATTTCAATAGGGAAGCAGATTTCATTTCAGAAGAAAAATCGGAGGCATATTTAATTTGCTTTAATGAGGCTAATTAAGTATAGATAAAGGTGATTGATTAGGGGTTTGTTTAATGTTTATATTTTTGCTTCTACATTTGAAGTAGGAATAATATCATATAGCCTTCCATTTTTCATTTCAGAATAATACCTGTAGTTAACTTTCAGCTTTTCTAGTTTTCTTCAATTACTACTATGACTATTGCCAAGAATTAGTTTTCTGACTCTGAAACTGCTTGGTATCTTAACTGCAGTCACTGAATATTTGGATTAGAAAACTTTTCTGTGATGCCATTTATTCATCCATAATAAACATGTCACCTTAAAATGAGGTTGTTAAAAATTCCGTTGTTAGAAAATAAGCTCCAAGTAGCCCCATATGCTGCTGCTATAATTTGAATGTCCTCTCCCAAACTCATGCTGAGATTTAATTGATATTGTGACACTACTAAAAGGTGGGTTGTTAAAAGGTGGGTTGCTAAAAGGTGATTAGGCCATTAGACCCTACTTTCATGAATGGAATAATGCTGTTATCATAGGAGTGGGTTAGTAATTGAGAGAGTAGGTTCTGATAAAAAGGGATGAATTCAAGTACCCTTCCCACTCTTCCTCTTGTCCTCTCTTGCTCCTTCTGTTTTCCACTATGGGACCATGCACCACAAAGGCCCTCACCAGATGCTGATACTGTGCTCCAAGAATTCCCAGCCTTAAGAATCATGACCAAAGAAATTTCTGTTCATTATAAATTACTCAATCTCAAGTAATATCAGCAAAACACAAGACTAAGACAGTCAGCGATCTCTCAAAAGTTACTCTAGTTAGTATTTTCATATAAATATAAAGTATGTAAAAATATAAAGTGTGTAAGAATTAAGAGTTACCATAGTACTAGTTACTATTTTAAATTGTAGTAACTAAATTTCTTTGCCTAATTTAATATTAATAAACAAATATATGTTCATGTATGTGTAAAAACATGGAGTCAGGCATGCTCTCATTGCATCATGATAGCATTGGAAAACGAATATCTAAATAAATATTTATTTAGTCATTTATTTATGCCCCATTACTTTAAAATAAATTGAGGCAGCTGAGATAGTTTAACTTAAAGATATTTTGTGTCAAGCCCAGCAAGAGCTTACACCTATAATCCCAGCAACTCAGGAGGCTGAAGCAGGAGGATCTCAAGTTTGAGGCCAGCCTAGGCAAGCAAGTTAGTGACAACTGTTGCAAAATAAAAAATGAAAAGCACTGGGGATGCAGCTCCGTGGTCAAGCACCCCTAGGTTCAAACCCCAAACCCCAGTACCAAACCAAACCAAACCAAAACCAAAAAAAAACTCAACAGGTATCAAAAGAGATTAATAATATCTCCCCCTCTTTAGTCAACATAAACAACAAGTTGACTTAATACCTACTACTCAAAAGTATGTGTATTTCTGACTGGAGTGAGATCAAATCTTAAAGTAGTTTTAATTTGCATTTCTCTACTTATTAGAAATGTTGAACATTTTTTCATATTTTTGTTAAATTAATTGTATATCTTCTTCTGAGAAGTGTCTGTCTGTTCAGTTCCTTAGCCCATTTATCGATTGGGTTATTTGTTTGTCTGGTATTAAGTATTTTGAGTTATTTATATATCCTAGAAATTAGTGCTCTATCTAATGTACATGTGGTAAAAATGTGCTCCCATTCTGTAGCTTCTCTCTTCACCTCACTGATTGTTTCTTTTGCTGAGAAGAAGCTTTTTAGTTTGAATCCACCTCATTTATTGATTCTTTATTTTATTTCTTGTGCTTTAGTAGTCTTGTTAAAGAAATCGGGGCCTAATCTGACATGACAAAGATTTGGGCCTACTTTTTCTTCTATTAGGTGCAGGGTCTCTGGTCTAATTACTAGGTCCTTGATCCACTTTGAGTTGAGTTTTGTGCAGGGGGAGAGATAGGAGCTTAATTTCATTTTGTTATATATGAATTTCCATTTTTCCTAGCATCATTTGTTAAAGAGGCTGTCTTTTCACCAATATATGTTTTTGGCACCCTTGTCTAATAAGAGATAACTGTATTTATGTGGGTTTGTCTCTGTGTCCTCTATTCTCTACCATTGATCTGTAAGTCTATTTTGGTGCCAATACCATGCCATTTTTGTTACTATTGCTCTATAGTATAGTTTAAGGTCTGGTAATAGCAGTTATCAAAAATACAAGCAACAATAAGTGTTGGCAAGGATGTGGGGGAAAAGGCACATTCTTACATTGCTGGTGGGACTGCAAATTGGTGTAACCAATATGAAAAGCAGTATGGGGATTCCTCAGAAAACTTGAAATGGAACCACCATTTGACCCAGCTATTCCACTCCTTGGTCTATACCCAAAGGATTTAAAAATAGCATACTACAGTGACACAGCCACACTAATGTTTATAGCAGCACAATTCACAATAGCTAAACTGTGGCATCAACCTAGATGCCCTTATAAAGATGAATGTATAAAGAAACTGTGGTATATATACACAATGGAATAATACTCAGCATTAAAAGAGAATAAACAATGGCATTTGCAGATAAATGGATGGATTTGAAGAATATAATGCTAACTGAAATTAGCCAATCGCAAAAAAACAAAGGCCGAATGCTTTCTCTGATATGTGGATGCTGATCACATAGGGGTTGGGGGAAAGAGAGGAACTTTGGATAGGGCAAAGGGGAGGAAGGGGAAGGGAGGGGGAAAGGGGGTAGGAAAGATGGTGGAATGAGGTAGACATCATTACCCTAAGTATGGGTATGAAGACACGAATGTCTTCATGTACAACTTGAAGAATACTTCATGTACAACCAGAAAAATGAAAATTTGTGCTCCATTTGTGTACTACGAATTGAAATGCATTCTGCTGTCATGTATAACTAGAACAAATAAATAAATATTTTTAAAAATCCAGGAAAAGCAACACTATATCTTCTATGCCCCTCCCCACCAACCACCACCTCCCCCCGCCACACCCCTATATACTGTTTTAGTCCATTTGGAATGATGAATAAAATATAAAAATATCAGACTGGGTGGATTATTAAAAAAATTATTTTCACTGTTTTGGAGGCTGAGAAGTTTAGGATCAAAGCACAGGCACATTCACTATTGAATGAGAGCCCATTTCCTTGTTCAAATATTATGGTTTGGATATGGGATGTCCCCCAAAAGCTCCTATGCTAATGCATGACATGAAATGATTAGATTATGTGTGTTGTGACAAAATCGGTTGATAGGCCTGTTTGATGGATTCATAATTTGAATGTATTACTGGGTGGTAACCGTGGTGTGGCTGGAGGAAGTGAAGTGAATCATTGGGATGTGTTTTGAGGATTTTCTATTTTGCTACTGCCTCCTTATACTGGTTGTCTGTTTCGTGGCTGCCATGAGCCAAGGAGCTCTCCTTTCTAGGTGCTTCTGCCGTATTTAGCCTCAACTTGGGCCCAGAGCAAGGGAGACAGTCAACCATGAAATGAACCTGTGAAACCATGAGCCAAAATAAACTTTTCCTGCTCTAAAAAATAAAAAAAGACTGTGTACTTCGTTAGCAATGAATTTCTTTGGAAATTCTCCACTACTGTGGTAAATCAGAATGCTCATTCACCTTTACACAAGAATCAGAAAACAGCATTTCACACTAAAATTTCTGTGCTAATAGTTGCCATAAAGCATGGTGATAAAAATTGGTTGAGCTTGTAATTATCAGTGAATTTATAGGCAAAAATAAAAGTTAATTGTGGATTCAGGAGGACTTTCAAATGATGGTTTCTTTTTCTCCCAACTTCTTAAGGGAAATAGAGGTTTTAATTTTAACTTGTCTATAGAGGTATAAATTTTAAATTAAAAAATGGTGGGGGAATGCTTTCTGCTTTCATATCTTCCTTTCCCTTGGAATCCTTTTCTTCTCCTTTCTTCCCTTACTTGGTACTTACATAAAATTAAAAAAAAAAATTTTTAAATCTTCCTTATTTAAAATAGAAAAAGGAAAAAGAAAAAGAATTTGCCAAACAAGTTATTATTACTATTATTTTTTCAGTACCAGGGATTGAACTCAGGACACTTAACCACTAAGCCCCATCCTTCACTCTTTTTTTTTTTTTGAGACAGGGTCTCGCTAAATTGCTTAGGGCCTCACTAAGTTGCTGAGGCTGGTTTTAAATTTGCAATCTTCCTGCCTCAGCCTCCTAAGCCACTGAGATACAGGCGTGCACCACTTCGCCTGGCTAAATAAAGTATATTTTTCTAACTGGAATTCAAAAGAACGGTTCACTGGATATTTATTCTAAGAAGTCTGAGGACTGAGGTATTTCAATTTTACTTCAAATTCACTGCTGACATAATTTTAAAATTCAATTAATGTTTACCTCATATTCTTTATGGAGTAATTCAAGTCTAGTTTTCCGAAGGTGCTTCCTGACTGTATGAGTTAGCATAGGTTCACTTTCACTTGTTCCTCCTATAAGGAAAAAAAAAAAAAGAAAAAAATCCTTTTTTAAAAAATTCTGATTTTGGCAAAATGAAAATGAACCTTTTTCTTATTTTATATAGTTCACCAGTTTAATATCTACATTTTCTCTTTCACACCAATTTTGGGCTGCCATCTAGGCCTATTCTCTATCTTAATTCTGGGAAAAACAAATAATCAAATAACACCATAATAAATGCCTTCAGTAAAATATCATATTGTGTTTGTTTATCTATATGTCATACTAGAAAAAACTCAGTAGGGAAAAGGACTATGTGTTATTAATTTTCACATTTGGACTACTGAAAACCTGAAAGCTAGAAAACTGTTAAATAATAATAAAACCAATTACTATACTTTGTCAACGATTAAATATATGTTTGTATAAATAATTATAACCAAGGTATTCAAACATGCTTGGTTACTGGTAACACAACTGAAAAAATTAATGCATATTTTTCACTGATTCTAATAATGTACTTACAATGGATTATGAGTCACAGCATTAATTATATGCATGACTTGTTAGAAATATATACAATATGAATTCTAGGAGTTTTTCATTTCTGCTGTGGTTACCTTCCTTGCTTTTTAGTGTCATGACAGTGAAGGCATTTTATGGATGTTCTTTTTCAAGACATTCTATCAAATCAATGATGGATCAACTATTTTACTTGAGAAAATTTACAAAATATCACTGAGATATGAATGAATAAAGGAAGGAGGAGGCCTGTGTAGAAAAGCTGAGGGTTAAAAGCATTCAGATTATTTTAATTATCAAAACTCATATTCTGGGTCTGTAGTTCAGCGGCAGAGCACTTCCCTAGCATGTGTGAGGCAGTGGGTTGGATCCTTAGCACTACATAAAAATGAAAAAAATGAAGGCATTCTGTCTGTCTACAACTACAAAAAAATTTAAAAAACACAACTTATATTCTGTAAGAAAAGACCTGATTCCTCGGTGAAGTTCAGTAGGTAAATACATAGAGAAGGAAAAATTTAACCCCACAAAATGCAACATAGCAGAGAATTAGTCATCTGCCATGTTTTATAAGGTAGGAAAGAAATCTTGGAGCCAACTTTGATTCTTTCTTTGGATCTTTATTGCCAAAGTCCTACCAGTTCTTCTTTTGCTGTCCAGCATATATCTTCCTTTCCATTTTCACTGTAAAAATCTTATTTAAAGTCAATTTTCCCTAACTTAGGACTATTACAATGACTTAAGCTTTCTGAAAAATGCTTTCTATATGTGGATAATTATAGATTGACTTTAAATGTTTCCTAAAGCAAACAAAAATTATTTTAATTTTTATAATCTAAAAGAAATAACATATATGGAAAAAAAAAAAAAAACTACCAAACACCAAAAGGCCCTTTAAATTATTTCTTTCTCTTCTCTTCTCTCTCACACTCTCTCTTTTTCTCTTTATTTCTCCCTACCTTCTCCTTCCTTCCTATTTTAATGGGGACTGAACTCAGGGGTGTTTTGCCCTTTTCTCCCTTCTTCCCACCCAGGTCCTTGATTTAGCTGTCACTTGAGTTCCTCTACACTAGTCTCAATTTACTTTTTCAATCTTATTTCACTAGTCAGATCCAAACTAAATTACTGATCATTTCCAAAAACAGGCTTATTATTCTATATTGTTCATGTCACTGCATGAAATGCTCTCCTATGCCTCACTTAATTTTCATTAGTTGAAATTTTACACATCCTTAAATGTCCAACTACTTCATGAAGCCTTCTTCAATGTTGCTAACTGAATGTTCCTGCCAAAACTCTTCAGGCCTTATATTATTTTTTGGACCTTAGCATCTGCTTTGCTGCTTTAAATGATTAATATTTTGGTCCACATGCACAGTCTTTACTGGTAAGTCCCATGAAGCTCCAAGAGTTATTTCTCCTAGCATCTCTCATAGTGCTTTGTGCCCTTCAGTTGCTCCACATATACATTATACAAATTACTAATTTATCTAGTATGATGTTGGCTAAATAACACCATTGAAAACTATTTCAATCTTCTCCCAAATATACATAACTTGGAAAACATTTCAAATCTATTCCTCGGTGTATAAAATAGGTCCTTACCGATAATCTCCTTGCAAGGATTTTCAGGAGTAATAGGGACTCGGCAAGCTGGACACTGGCTATTATTCTTCAACCACAAATCAATACAAATAGAACAAAACACATGGTTGTTGATGCAAATGACAGGCTGGCGTACCTTTGAAAAAAGAGACATTACTTTTAGTATAGGCAACAGTCATAACTAGATTCCCTATATAGTTTAGTGCAAAGCAAACAAATTGCTTCTTTAGAGTATAGAACAGTGAGTGTTTAGCAGGGAATATCTAGGACTTCAAAATGCTGATTATCTTGGCCATATCATTTCTTATATATGCATAACAGATGCTAGCTAAAATAGTTGGTTATAGCAGATGAAATTCTTGACATATTTATGAGATGCATTATTCTATACTTAACCACATTCATGGTAAAACAAAAAAAAATTGAATATTTTTTGTTTTTTGGTTCCACTAAGGTTAGGACATTTTTTCCTCAGACTATTTTATTTTACATGTGTATTTACACGAAATACACAAATTCCTGACTCCATTTAAATGTGGACATACCTTACATTTACATAGTCATATTTTATGAAGGGCTTCCACATGTACATTCTGTCTCTTTCTGTTGTTTACAAACCACAGCTGTATGAACTAAATATAGTAAATATATGTTACAAGTAAGGAAGACAAAGTATGAAGAAATTAGGTAGCTTGTGCTGAGTTACTGGAGTATTTTGAATGTTGCAGTTTTGTCAAAGGAAAAAGAGAAAAGTAGAGTATATTCTTGCAACAGATGGCTGCTTTTTGTGTGCCACTTCTTTTTCTCTAGTAATGAACTGTATATAGCCTTATACACGATGGAGCAGGGCATTCTAAACCAACTTGGGTCCAAAATGCTGCCTGTTCTAGAACCATTTTCTTACTCAAATAAACTTTGTTAACTCAAACTTTTTTTTTTTAAGTCAGTGATCTTTGAGCATCATTTTACTCACTTTTTTTTTAAGAAAGAGAGAGAGAGAGAGAGAGAGAGAGAATTTTTTAATATTTATTTTTCAGTTTTCGGTGGACACAACATCTTTATTTTATGTGGTGCTGAGGATGGAACCCAGCGCCCCCGCATTACCGCTTGAGCCACATCCCTTTTTTAACTTTACTCATATCAGATTTTTCTTTACCAGTCTCATTCATCCCTAAATTGCTGGTACCTATAAGTTAGATAAGTACTTAGTAGGTACTCAATAAATATTGGTTTAATTGATTTATTTAATGAATTAATTACTATTTAGGCAGTAATTTTATTAGTTGATGAACTCGCCACAAGGGAATCATGACTTAATATTTTTCAAATAGCATTAATTTAACAATAAAAACAAAAACAGCACAGAAAGACTTAGGCTTTCATTTGATCAACATGATATTTCCACTATAGGATTCAAAATATTCTGCAGCCATTTTCAATATTTTCTTGTTCTAATAATAACAATACCAGTAATAAGGTCTTCTGCACTGGGGAGGAGACTAGAAGATTAAGGGAAAGCAGAATTAGAGGGAGAATGAAGATAGAGTATTACCACAAACCACTTTCCTTGTGCCACTGTGTCTGCCCTAAAAGACTACTGAGTATTTATTCATTTGGAATGGGTCTACACAGCCAAAACAAAATCACGGGCAGGCAGGTAATCATTTTAGTCTCATTGCAAAGATCTGTCTGGTTTCAGTCTGGCTTTCCAAACACTTTGCTACTCCCTTGATTATAAACACGAATCCAAGAAAACTAAATAGAGAAGATTATTGAAGATGAATTTAAACTTGCTCTTGGAGAAATCTAATTCATTCAATTCAAAGGGTTTGACAAGATTCCTTTAAAAAAACAAACAAACAAACCATGAAGTACCATGTCTAAAACTCTTGTTTCGAAAATGCTCCTAGCAGCAGCCACGCATAAAATCTGTGAGGCATTCTCTGGTTAATATGAAGTGGCTGGCAAATCTGAACTTTGGTTGCATTTTTTTTTCCTTAAAAATTCAGGCGATTTTAAAGTCTACATTATAATGTGTTCATGCATGTTTTAATTTCATTTGCATATCATGAAATTTTTTGGAAGTACAAAAGCCCAAACTAAATACCAGGAAGGTAATGTCATATCTATTCTGTCACCCTTCCTGGACCTATAATATTCCTAGTAGTACCCTATATTATTCCTAGTAGTACCTTATTCCCCCCAAATTACAAAGCTCAGTTAAGGAAGAAAGAGTTATCTCCTTGAACTGGTAGCTATTTTTATAATGGTGACTTAATTTACTTTTATGTCATAAACTCATCTAAAAATGGATGAAATCCAATGTTTAAGATATAAAATTACACATTATAAAAAGGGCTTTAAAATGCTACTCCCTACGAGAAATACGTTCAAAAGCATTCAGTATTTTATATGTATTTGTTCCCCTCAAAAATTTCAGTGGCTCACCAATCTTAAAAATGGTTTTAAGCTCCTCAGTGGTTGGTGTTATCATTTACTAAGGTTCCAAAGATGAAGGAGCAAGTTTCATACATGGTAAAAATCAAGAATTTGGTTTCAGTCATGTGAAATTTGTGATGCCAACCCCATAATTTAGTGTATAAGTCTCAGCTGGGTGTGATGATGCATGCCTGTAATCCCAGAAGCTCAGGAAGCTGAGGCAGGAGGATCAAGAGTTCAAAGCCACCTCAGCAATGGTGAGGCACTAAGTAACTCAGTGAGACCCTGTCTCTAAATAAAATACAAAATATGGCTGGGAATATGGCTCAGTGGTCGAATGCCCCTGAGTTCAATCCCCTGTACACCCCCCACCATGAAAAAAAATTAAGTGCATAAGTCTAGTCTTGCCTTGGTAAGTTTTGAGAGTCAGTGGTATAAAAGATAATGGCATTTAAAGTCACTGGAGCAGGTGCCCAATATGGACAAAACAGCAGGGATGGGGGACATTTCACTAAGTAGAGAAAAAGAAGGAATAAGGAGCAAAAGAAACTGGGAGAAGGGGGCCCTGTCATATCAGAAACAGAAAACAGTATCATAGAAGTTAAGATAAGAATGTGTTAAGAGGGAGACAGTGTCCAAATATGTAAAATATTGATGAGATATTGAGTTTGATGTGAACTGAGATGAGACTATAGGATTTAACTGCATGGAAGTCACTGTGATCTGTTGCTAAAAAGCCCTGTTTCAGCAACTGGTGGGGATGGAAATCTGGATGTTGAGAGACAATGATAAGATGAATACAGACAATTCTTTCATATTCTGATGCAAAGGAGAGAGCAAACTAATTCATTAGACCACAGTCAGGAAAGCCAAAGGGAATGATACAGTAAAAAGGGAATATCAGTAGTGAAGGGGAGAAGGAATCTTGCAGTAGAGACAGAAAAATTTCTGTGTAAAGGAGAATGGAATTTAAAGCACAAGAGGAGATTTTGTCTTTTTAGGAGTGAGCAACTGTCTTCCTTTTTAATGGAAGGGAAAGCAGGAAGTGTGAGAACAAATAGTAAGGGACTAAAGATCTATTAATGGGAAAGACGAGGGAATTTATTCATATTCCAACTGTCCCAGTTGTTTATATTTTGTCATTAAATGTGAAGTGAGGATATCGGCTGAAAGTGAGAAGGGAGATGGGATATAGATTTGAAAAAAAGGAGAATAAAGCAGTTATTTTGAAAATGAGAAAGTTTATTAGAGACATGTAGCAGGACTTCTTTACATTGTTGAGTTCCTATTTAAGGTCTGTGGTTTTGAATGCAAAGTAAGACTAATTAGCACAGGTGTTTATTTTTCTTAGCAATATTTAGCTGCTTAGTTCAGGCAGGAAATTAGATAATTAGTTCAGTTTACCCAGAGTTGAGATTTTGCCAAGGAGAAATGGAGAGAAAAAGGACTAATAATAATAGATGACCACAAATAATAAGTGAACTGAGTATTTAAGTGGTAATGATGATAGTGAAAAGTGATAGAGTCAATGGATACATTTCAATAAGGCTGGAGTAATGCTGGAGAGTATAATGGAAACAGAATCAGAGAGTAAAATGCATACAGTCAAGATACTGAGGTGGCACAATTACTTTTCCTAACATTTTTCCCAGGCCATCTTATCTGATACTCATGCATGCCTGCCCCTCTCTCCCTCCCTCCCCCCTCTCTTATTTTTCTTAATCTCATGTGCCACATGGCATTAATATCAGCTTTATGTAACAACTCAACTTCTCTATAACTGGACCTTGATAAGAAACAGAGCTTAGGCTTCTACAAACAAACCTGGAGACAACTCCATCTCTCTCATTTACTGAGTTATGCTACCTTGGGTAAGCACTTTTATTATTCTGAGCATCAATTTTTGCCTCTGAAAATTAGGTACCCTTTTCATTTAGGTGTGGTTTAAAAACAAATAATGGATGGTAGCCCAGATACTTTCACATAGCAATCCCTCCTCCCTGAATACAGACAAAATAGCAAGTCTATTAACTATATAACTCAAGAGCCAAATCATTATGAGGATCCTACAGCTTCCTCTGCCATTACATGTTCAAAATAAACCTTGATCTCCTCCACACACTCTTCTTCCTGCACCTGCACAACTTCCTAAGTTGATGGCATCACCACTTTTTTACTTGGGCTAAAAAAGAGCTGCCTTTTACTAACCTCTTTTACCTATCCTCATTATCCAATTCATCACCAAATTCTATATTATATATTAGGTGTAAGAAGGTATACATTCTTAAGTTTCACCAATATTTTATGTACCACTAAGAGAAAAGAATGAAAAACATTGCTGATTACAATTACAAGATACAATCACTCACTTGCAAGATGCAACTAGATTTCAGACATATTAGAATAAGGGGAAAATGTACACCTCAGAATAGCCGTTGCATGGCAAATTTATACCCAAACGTTCTTCACCCCAATAATGAGTTTAGGTTCTCATTCTTTTATATCTGATCTATTACAATGATCTTCTCCCATAAATGTTCACATCTGTCCACCTTTCACACTGATTCCAGAGCTACCTTTCTAAGTATAAATCAATAGCTTTCACTGCTCTCTAGCAAGATAGCAAGGAGTTTTCCCTACTTATAATTTTAAGTATAGCATAAGAAGAATATATCTAGTTCTTAAAAAGGCATTTCC